AATAAAAAGCTTCATGGAAGACCTGGAGCTAAGCTTTAAGTATGGACAGTATTTTGAGATACAAAGAATATTCAAGACAGAGGTAATATCAGAAGAAAGTAAAGGGGTGAAAATCCTGAAGCAAATTCATGGATATAGTGGCAAAGAGTTCCATTCAATTAATAGGCAAAAACAACTCAGGAGGGTTGTAAATAAGACTGGGAAAGTTCAATAGGGCTAACTGTAGCTTTGATAAGAAAAGAAAGTTCACTTTTTTTCTTTAATAATTAGAGGTTTTATAGTGGGATCTTAAAATTGAGATCCATCCTTCTTAGAATAAAATAGAAGATTTCCTTAAAATTGTTTGATAATGTGGAGACTTGAGTAAGACCAGTTAGTGAGCCTAATCATATCCCATAAACAGTGGCTAGCTAAGTCAAGAGCAGTCTTGCTCCCCTGATGGCCTTGCTCGGGTGCCTGAGGGCAGAAGTGGAAGACCACAGGGATATGGGGTTTACTTTTGCAGAACTTTTGCAGAACTTTTTCTGGAGCATTGAGTGTCAGATCTAGAAGAGACCATAGAGAACTGACCCAACTCACTTGTTTAGTGGATAGAAACTCAGGTCCAAAATGATTGGTACTTTGTACAAGATGATAGAAATTTTTAGTTCCAGAGCTAGCAATTAAAGCCAAGGTTCCTGATTGTTAATTTGCTGGTGTCTTCTCTATATGTAAAACAGAAACTCAACAAGATGCTGGTGAAGATTACATTTTCACTGAGGCTAATGTGCATATAGACCCTCATAAGCAATTTATTTTAAGATCGTGAGTGAGGAAACAACAGTCCTTTTCCCCCCTTTATTATAGAGAACTGTGGTAGAATATCAAGATCAGAAGACTATTGACTGAGTGATTTACCAAATCATTTACTCTCATTGATTTAGTCTCAGTGCTGGATTGTGACTCAGCTTCAGTTTAGTTTCTTCACTTATAAAATGAGGATAATCATCTATCCTCTACTGAGGATAACACTAGAATTGTAACAGGCATTAAATGAGGTATTATATGTAAAAATAGCATAAAAATGAAACGTGAGCACTAATATTGAACAACACTGCAAAAGATGCTGTCACTTCAGGCTGTTGAAGGACTTTTAAAAATAATTTTATATACTTTCTAAAATGGGTGCACAATATTAACATATTAACATATAGTTGAAAACACTAATGCTTTCCTTTTAAATTTTGATGAAACTTTATTTGAGAATTTAGGTATTTTAATATTTGATTTTGCCTTCTTAGATGATCTATCTTTGCCGGAATGCCAAGGATGTGGCTGTTTCTTATTATTATTTCTTTAAAATGGTAGCTGGTCATCCAAATCCTGGAACTTTTCAAGAGTTTGTGGAGAAATTCATGGATGGACAAGGTAATAACAGTGTTGTTTCTTTCAATTCTTTCAAGGTAAATGATTCAAGACAAATAGCATCTCTGAGCAAAAATTTTTGTTGCCTTTCCTGGTTTATCATCCCTGATCCTTAATTAAAACACAGAAGTTTTAGGTGACCTTGAACTTTAGAGCAAGCATAGGGTTTCCAGATGTGGATGGCGAATTGTAGAATATAGAAAGTTCAGTTCAATGCCTAAAAATAAATATGTAAGATGTTGGAGGTAACAATTTCTCTCTCTAAGGTTGAGACTTCATGTCCAGTTTTTTCTTGTCTTTATTAGAAAAATATTTCACAGCATATTATTACCACTCTATTGAACAAGAAGGAGAAGGGAATAGAAGAGGGAGAATGTCCATTTGTTTCCAAGGAAAATTTCAGGTGTTACATGGACCAAAATTTATAAAGAAGTCTGAATACCTATGAAGTTTTTATGCATTCTACCTAGTGTACAGTCTGAATGACTCAACTAGATCTCTCAGAACAGTACAAGGTTACTTGAACAGTAATTCTGGAAAATTTTGCCTTTTTAGTTAACTCCAGATGAAAGCAACTAAGTAGATTTGAGGAAGAAAGTGTTCAGGAGATTCTAGTATTAACTGAAGAAGGCCATTCTGATCCCGTGGTAATAAATTGTAAGGAAAATGATAACAATCCCACTTTTATATCCATAAAAATGAAATTGACTCAGTAAAAGTAGGATATATATGCTTTATTTTTGTTGCTATATTTGAGAAAATTTATGCTCATGCATAATGAATAAAATATTTGCCTCCAGATCATCAAAACCCACATTGTAAGGCAAAGAAACATAAAGTTGAACCTCCACAAAACATGAATAAGATAATTATAAATATCACCATATAACTTTTTTCTGTAAAGAAAAATTGCCAATAGAGTCAAAGAATAGAAGAAATATGCAGTGATCTAATGCAAAGCAAAATACTTTGACTCACACATTATTATATCATTCTGTCAGCTTTTATTGGGGAAACACTTGGATATATGTGAGAGAAGTAAGGAAAAAGAAGGGAAGAGACAGCATTTGGTCATATCACATCATCTCCAAAATCTAATTCTTTTAGAGTGAGAATGACACTAAAGTTCCCTCAGAAAACAGCTCTTATAATCTAAACTGCAAGCAATGTAGTAAACTGTTACATAGTTACTAGCTTCAGTAGCCAAAACCAGTTTGTAAATGGAAAATTTGAGACCTGGGCTGAATTCTTATTATAAGAACGTTGATTGTTCCACTAACTAAACTCTCTTCACTAACAATCTGATTTTACACACATACACACACACACACACACACACACACACTCACTCTGGTTTCAAAAGTTATCTAATAAACTCTGAATCAAAATTATGGGAGGGGGACTTCCTTCACTTTTTCTCTGTGCCATAAACCGTGTCATAATAATGAAAGTTGAGAATATGTTTTTGTACATGAATTATTCAACATATTTTGCCTCCTTGCTGCAGAGAAATTTGCTTAACATATGAGGCTGATCTCTACTTTTCATTCCATGATCATTTATTTATATTTATTTGTTGCTACTGTTATTTAAAAACTCTTTTTTCAAGCTGTATAAAGAAGATATTATGCTCTTATGTTGTTTTTATCTCTAATTTTAGTTCCTTATGGTCCCTGGTATGAACATACAAAATCTTGGTGGGAAATGAGAAATAATCAACATTTGCTCTTTCTTTTCTATGAAGACATGAAGGAGGTGAGAAACTGAAAACATATGGACAATTTAGTAATTTCTAAAATGTTATCATTTAGCAACATCTAGATACAAAAATCTGCCTTTAGATAAATAATGCAGTACCTCTAAAAGCTACAATTATCCAGATAATTTAACACAGACTTAAAGTTAGTAAATAAAAATCTCCTGTGAATGAATATGTTTAAATCCAAGTCTCAAAAAATTACCAACAATAAAATTTTGTGGAACTTGAGTTCATAAAAGAAAATAACAACATATGAACATACACACGGATACATACATACAAGGAATCGCAGCAGGCAAGAAGAGTCAGCTGGTCTCCAAATCCACAGATGTTAGAATTATCGAATAAGAGCTTTAAAATAATTATCCTTAACATGTTTAAAGAAATAAAAGATGAAATTTGGATCTTACAAGGAGCAAGAGGTTACTGAAATTAACAAGTCAGATTAGAAAAAATAACAAAATAGGATTTCTAAAGTAATAAATTAAAATTAGAAACTAAGAGATGGTTTAAATAACAGATGATACATTACTAAATCATGGATTGGTAATGTGGAAGATGGAGCTGAGCTAATTCTATAGAATTTACCACATTGAGATAAGTAGAATACTTTATTTTTTAAAAAAGAGTAATGGATATGTAGGCTAACATGATAAGGTCCCACATATATAAATTCAAACTTTCAGAAGGAGAGAGTTAAGAGAATGCTTAGAACAGCAATATACAAAAGTCTGATGGTCCCAAAATTTCCTTATAATCTAGTTTTTCTCTAGTTTCATTAGTAATCAGGATAATTGCAAATAAAAATCATTATGAGATGTTATTCCATACCCACCAGACTGACAATAATGAAAAAGTCTGACAATAAAAATGTTAGTCAGGATATGGATCAGTGAGAGGTACCACACTGCTGATAGTAGTGTAAAAAGATACAAACACTATGGAAACAACTTGTCACTGTCTACAAAGAGCAAAACATGAATGTAACTGAAGATCCAGAAATTCCACTAGTCGATATATATTCTTGAGAAACTCTGGCTTGTGTACATTAGGTTATATGTACCACAATTCTCACAGCAGCATTCTTTATAACCATAAACACTGGAAACAACCTAAATACGCATATAACTAAATCATCAATACATGTCATCTAATTCAAACTGGAAGAGTCAAGGAAATCATCTCAAAGAAGGTGATACATAAGCTGAAGTTTAATAGGCAAGCTATAATTTGTAGAATAGAGAATTTGAGAAAAGCATTCTACATAGAGGTAACTACATGCCAGAAGAAGCATTATGGTTAGTATTGAAAATAGTTGCATTGGTTGATGTAGCTGGATCATAAGGTACACAACAGGAGGGACATAGATAGAGATGGGGATGTTTGTAGCTACAGCTCATATATAACATCGGATGTTCCATGTTGAGTATTTGACCTTTTACACATTTTCTTAATCTATCTGGTTCCTTTGCTTTCCACTAGTTACACCAATAAATTAGAAGAAAAATAAAAGCTATCTGCATATTTTCAACCCAAAACTTGATCTATTACAGGAGACTGTACTATTTGAGAGTGTATATTAATATTGATAGATATTTATTGAGCATGTACTATGTTTGAGGATATGTATACATTTTTTGGGACACCCTGTATATTAGCTCTTGTAAATAATGCTGCAATGAACATAGGGTGCATACAGCTTTTTGAATTAGTGTTTTTATTTTCTTCAGATAAATACCCAAAAGCAGAATTGATTGGTTATATGGTAGTTCTATTTTTAATTTTTTGAGGAAACTCTATGCTGTTTTTCATAGTGGCTGAATCAATTTACATTCCCACCAACAATGCATGAGGGTTCCCTTTTCTCCACATCCTTGGTAAACTTGTTATTTGTTGATTTTTTCATAATGGTCATTCTGACAGGTGTGAGGTGATATCTCATTATGGTTTTGATTTGCATTTTCCTGATTATTAGTGATGTTTAGCATCTTTCTATATTTGTTAGCCATCTATATGTCTTCTTTGGGGAAATGTCTGTTCATATCCTCTGCCCATTTTTAATCAGATTGGTTTTTTTTATGTTGAGTTGTATGTGTTCCTTCTATATTTTGGATATTAACTGCTATTGGATATATTATTTCAAATATCTTCTCCCATTCAGTAGGTTGTCTTTTCATTTTGTTGGTTTCCTTCACTGTGCAGTGGCTTTGTTGCCCTTGCCTGAGGTGATATATCCAAAAAAGATATTGATAAGATGAATGTCAAAGAGTATACTGGGTGTGTTTTCTCCTAGAAGTTTTATGGTCTCAGCTCTTACAGTTAAGTAATTAATACATTTGAGTTTATTTTCATATATGGGTAATAAAGTGGTATTATGTATATGGTATGTAAGAAACTGTATGGTGGGAAGTATCTTTTATGTCCGTTTCATGGCTCAGGAAAATTGTGTTTAGAGAAGTTTTAAAAATATAACTTATACAAGAAGTACTTTTCCACATTAGAAGCCCATTCTAGTATCAGTGAGAGGAGGGAGAACAATTTTTCTCTCTCTCTTTTTTTAATCCAAATAGTAATGCACTCAATTTCAGTAATTTAATCTTCAAAATACTTTTTCTTCTTAGGATATCAGAAGAGAGGTGATAAAAGTGATGCGATTTCTGGGAAGGAAGACATCAGAGGAGCTTGTGGAAAAGATTGTTCAACACACTTCATTCCAAGAGATGAAAAACAACCCATCTACCAATTACACAACACTACCAGATGAAGTCATGAACCAAAAAATATCTCCCTTCATGAGAAAGGGTGAGATGGTCACATGATTTGCCTCTACTGCTATCAGAAGTCACAAGTTGAAATAGTTATAGGCAAACACCTATCGAGGCCTATTCATGCCTGCGAACTCAGCTTGTTTTCTGCAGAGCTGTTTCACATTTGAAAACTCACTTTCCTGTGTTACCAGTTCTTCAGAGACATAAAATATTAGTACTTCTACTACTCATGATAAATTGCTATTACTTGTTGATTACTTAGTATATGCAGCATAGTATATTAAGAATGACTGGCAGCTACTGCAGTCTCAGCTCCAGGACTAGTGCCACACTCTACTAGCCACCATTTACTAAGGCTGGGTGCCCTGGTGCTACACCATGTACATTATGGAAATATATATACATTTAAAATTCTAATTATCTTTAAATTTTTATCAGAGACTCAGGAGAGAGCTTCAAAATATTATCTCATTTTGAGATGAGGAAACAAGCTTACAATGATTAGTCAGCTTTTCCTTGACGAAGTGGCAGACATTTTCGAGACTAATAGGCAAATGTCCAAACTCATCAAACTGTATGTACATTAAATATGTACAGTTTTTATATATTAATACCTTTATACCTCAATAAAACTTTTTAAAACAAGACTAAGTTTCAAAGCCCTAAGTAGCAAATATGGCTCTGTTTGGCAAAAATTTCAAAATACAATGAAGTGACATTCTGTTGAGAAGACGTGTGGTCTGATGAGACACAGACAGTTTATAAATCCAAAGACATGTAGGATATGAAGAGTATTGGGATATCCAGTCTTACTGATATGCGAAGAACATGTATTTGGGGGGTCTTGTTCGTTTATTTGTTTGTTTTAGAAGCAGAATAGAGAAAATCTTGCTCTTTGAACTAAATTGTCAGTGAAAAGGCCAGGGAATTTTTAAAATAATGGGAATAACAAACCTGCCACTGAGTGACAACAGGGAGCTCCTGAAAAGAGAGTTAGCATGCAGGTAATATTTTAATGACCCATTTCCAGATTATCTCTGCCTCCTTTCCCATAATGTCCATATATCTATTTAAAATAAAACACTAGACTTTAATTATCATGCTTGTAAAGGGCTGCTCACTGCTGTATCCTCAGAACACATATTTGCTATCTTTTGCTTTCCGGGTTATTTCACTGGGAAAGTTTAGAGCTTCTTGAGCTAAAGTGGGAAGTGAACTATTGACTTATTTACAATCAGGGTGCCTTCCTTCTGCCAGGGGAGAGCTGGATTTGATGGAAAGCAAAAGGGAAGGGCCTACTAGACTGTTGCAATAAACCAGGTGGGAAACACTGAGGAGCTTCAATGTCAGTGGCAGCAGAAATGAAGAAAGGAAAAGAAGTGTGAAGAAAACCTGAATATGAATAAAGAATTAGATGGAGGACTGAGGGGACAACTTCCAAGTTTATGCTTTGAATAACTAGTGCTGCCATTAATCAGGTTGTGAAAAAGAAAACACAATTTGGTGGGGAACAAAATGAATTAATTTTTTAACTAAATTGGGTATGCTTGTATGGAATACCATCTAGACAGTTGAATATGAAACTATAACTCTGGATTTGAGTGTGCTCAGCATGAAGATGATATTTAATATTTTGGGCATGTATAAAACGTAGATCTCATTCATATTAGGAGGAAGCCGCAACATTTGAGAGGAAATTGGAGAAGAAAAGTTCAATGAAGGAACATTAGAGGGAAGAATCAAAGAAAGAAATTTGCTCTTTGTTGTTGCATTAACAATCACAAGTTCTTCTTTGTAAGCTCAAATATGTATATTATTTATGGTATATATTTTATTATAATCAAGGGTTACAAGAATAAAAGTTGATTAGGTGTTAATGAAAGGGGTGAATATTAGGAAACTTCATGATTCTGGCTTGAAGACATAATACTTATTGTGTTTTTTCTTTGTTACAGGGATTGCAGGAGACTGGAAGAATCACTTTACAGTAGCCCTGAATGAGAAATTTGATATGCACTATGAGCAGCAAATGAAGGGCTCTACACTGAAATTACGAACTGAGATCTAAGAAAGGTTTCCCTAACATATCAGAGGTTTAAGCTTTTCTTATTTTAGATTGGTAGAGAGAGAGCCATGTGAAAGGTTATGTGGTCAGGTTCACATGGTTATTGAGATCTCAATATAAAAAGACAAGAAGGATTTTTTCCTGACATTATCTTTTTATTTTATTTTTAATCTTTATTTTTCTCCTCCATTTTCTTCTTTTTACAAATATTACACAAAGCTATAATCTATGGGAATGATGTAAGAACACACAGATAATTTAAGTTAGAAGCTCATTAAAAATCAACAAGCATTCCAAATTATTTTCATGCTGGTTTCCACGCCCCCATTTAGTAGTATATTTAGTACATACAGGAACTTTGAAAATTTTAGGAGAAATAATTACAATAAATAAATTTGGGGGCATAATTATACCTATTATTTACATCCTGATTTTTTTTTTTATTTTTTGCAAAATGACTTAATTTGAAATTTACTTTAATCTAATGTAAATTTTGGCTATAGCTGAATTGATCAGATATCTGTCAATATTCCTGTGTATTATTTATGCTTGAATGTCATATAAAAATGTAATGAATTTTCATTCTGTAAACGAAAGTTTTACAAAATTTGATATTTGCTAATAAAACAAAACAAAAAAAAACAAAAGGAATAGAAGAACAGTTATTATCTTTTATATAAACTATTGTTTTTGCTTATGTCTCCTATTTTTCTGCATTCTATTGATGATTTTTTTCCCCTATACTACACTTGTTTTTCACAGCTGATGTCTCTTTTCTCTAAATCGGAAGACAAACAAGATCTTAAAAAATTTACTATGGGTCTTTAGTAGATTATTACATTCTTAATTCCTAACCTACAAGGTCAAATCTAAGGAGAAATAAATATGGTTTGCTTTCTTACTCTTTAGAGAAAAGTCTAGAGATTTCTGAACACCCTGTTTAGTAGTATGATTTTTCAGAATTAAAGCTTCTGAAGTAAGTAAAATTACTTATTTTTTTAAAAAAGAAATATAACATAGTTATACATTATAGAAAAATTGGAGAGTTTTGAAAAATATTAAGTTTTCATTGTGGTCAAGATGAGAAGCAGAACCTCAATCATTAAAGGCAACAATTGTTCTTTCTTTTATTTCTTTTTAAATTAAAGTTACACAGTATTTTATGGTATAAATGTACTAGAGCATTTTTACCCACTCATCGACTGATGGGCACTTGGGCTGTTTCCAGATCTTCGCTATTGTAAACTGTGCTGCTATGAGCATAGGGCTGCATATATTCTTTCTGATTAGTGTTTCAGGATCTTTAGGATATTCTCCTAAAAGTGGGATCACTGGGTCAAAAGGCAGCTCCATTTTTAATTTTTTGAGGAGCCTCCATACTGTTTTCCACAGTGGCTGCATCAGTCTGCATTCCCACCAGCAGTGCACTAGGGTCCCCTTTCCCCACACCCTCGCCAGCACATGTCGTTTGTTGATTTGTTGATGGAGCCATTCTGACAGGTGTGAAGTGATGCCTCATAGTGGTTTTAATTTGCATCTCTGATGATTAGGGACCTTTAGCAATTTTTCATATGTCTCTTGGCCATCTGTATGTTCTCTTTAAAGAAGTGTCTATTTAGGTCCTTTGCCCATTTTTTAATTGAAATGTTTGTCTTTTTGTTAAGTTGTATGAATTGCTTATATATTTTGGATATTAACCCTTTATCAGATGTATCATTGGCAAATGTTCTCCCATACAGTGGGCTCCCTTTTCATTTTGTTGATGGTTTCTTTTGCTGTGCAAAAGCTTTTTATTTTGATGTATTCCCATTTGTTTTTCTCCTTTGTTTATCTTGCCCTAGGAGATGTATTGGCAAACATATTGTTACAAGAGATGTCTGGGATTTTGCTGCTTATGTTTTCTTCTAGGATTTTTATGGTTTCATGTCTTACATTTAAGTCTTTTATCCATTTTGAGTTTATTTTTGTGTATGGTATAAGTTGATGGTCTAGTTTCATTTTTTTCTGAATATGCCTGTCCAATTTTCTGAACACCATTTATTGGAGAGACTGTCTTTACATAGAAGCATGGAGCAGACTGAGGGATCTCAGAGGGAAGGCGGGGGGGGGGGAGTGGGTGGGGAGAGATTAATCAAAGAACTTATATGCTTATATGCATAACCTATGGACACAGACATTGGTATGAGGAAGGCCTGGGGGTGGGGTGGATGCAGGGTGGAGGGGATCAATGTGGGAAAAAAGGAAACATCTGTAATACTTTCAACAATACAAATTTTAAAAAATAAAAATTAATTAATTAATTAATTAAAGTTACATACAATATTATATGAGTTTCAGGTGTACAACCATGTGATTTGACATTTATATAACTTATGAAGTGATTACCTTGATAAATTTAGAACCTCTGGACACCATATATAGTCATTACAATATTGTTGACTATATTCCTTATGTTCCATCCCCATGACTATTGCCTCATTACCAATTTGTACTTCCTAACCCCTTCACCTTTTTCAGTCTTTCTTCCATCTGACAACCATCAAAATATTTTCTGTATCTATGAGTGTGTTCCAGTTGAGCTTGTTTAATGTTTTTTAGGTTCCACATATAAATGAAAACATCTGCCATTTGTCTTTCTCAGTCTAACTTATTTCATTTAGCATAAAGCCCTCTAGGTGTCCCCACGTTGTTGCAGATGAAAAGATTTCAGTCTCTTTTATGGTTGAATCCTGTCTCATGGCAAACACGCACCACTTCTTCCTTACCTACTCATCTGTTGATGGACACTTAGGTGCCTTCCACGTCTTGACCATTGGAAGTAGTGCTGCAATAAACATATGGATGTATATGTCATTTCGATTTAGTGTTTGGGTTTTCTTTGGATAAATACCCAGAAATGGAGTTGCTGGATCCTGCTTTGTCTCTTATTATAGCCTTTGCTTTTCAAAAATTTTTAATTTTATTTTTTAATGGATTTTATTGGGGTGACATTGATTAATACAATTATATAGGTTTCAGGTGTACCACTCCGCAACACATCATCTGTATATTGTAGTGTGCAAAGTCAAGTGTCCTTCTGTCACCATTCATCCCCCCTTTACCCTCTTCTATGTCCCCCAAACCCCCTTTCCCTCTGGTAATCACCATACTGTTTTCTGTGTATATGAGTTTGTCTGTTTTTCTTAATCCCTTCACCTATTTTAACTCAGTATAGCCTTTGTTTTAAAGTCTATTTTTGTCAGTTATAAGTATTACTATCACAGTTTTTTTTATTTGTTTTGTTTACATTTTCATGAAATATCTTTTTTCCATCCTTTTACTTTCAGCCTGTGTGTGTCTTCAATCTGAAGTGAGTCTCTTGTAGACACTATTTGTAAGGGTCTTGTTTTGTTACCCATTCAGCCTCCATCAGCCTTCTGATTGGAACTTTTAATCCATTTGCATTTAAAGTAATTGTTGATAGATATGTATTTACTGCCATTTTATTACTCATATGATTTTTTCTTCTTCTTAAAGAAGATCCTTTAACATTTCTTGTAATACTGGTTTGGTGGTGATGAACTCCTTTAGATTTTTCTTTTCTGTGAAGCTCTTTATCTGACCTTCAATTCTAAATGACAGCTTTGCTGGGTAGAGTAATCTTAGTTGTAGGTCCTTGTTTTTCCTTACTTGGAATATTTCTTGCTAGTCCCTTTTGGCCTGCAAATATTGAGAAATCAGCTAACAGTCTTATGGGAGCTCCTTGTAGGTAACTAATTACTCTTCTTTTGCTGCATTTAAGATTTTCTCTTTGTCTTTAACTTTTGCATTTAAATTATGATATGTCTTGGTGTAGGACTTTTTGGGTTTATCTTGAGTGTGACTCTCTGTGCTTCTTGGACTTGTTTGTCTGTTTCCTTCACTGGGTTAGGGAAGTTTTCCATCACTGTTTTTTCAAACAGGTTTTTAATTCCTTACTCCCCCCCTTCTCCTTTTGACTCCCCCATGATGCAAATGTTGGTATGCTTGAAGTAATCCCAGAGACTCCTTAAACTATTCTCATTTTTGGGATTCTTTTATCTTTTTGCTGTTCTGATTGTGTGTGTTTTTTCTTTCTTATCTTCCAAATCTCTGATTTTATCTTCTGCCTCATCTACTCTACTTTTGATTTCCTGGAATTTACTCTTCATTTCAGTTAGTGTATCCTTCATTTGTGACTGATTTTATCATATGATTTCCATGTCCTTTTTTATGCTGTTGAAGTTCTCACAAAATTACTTGAGCATACTTACAGCCATTGTTTTGAGCTCTGTATCTGGTGATTTGCTTGCTTCCATTTCATTTAGTTATTTTTCTGAAGATTTCTCTTGTTCTTTCATTTGGGACCTGTTTCTTTGTCTCCTCATTTTGGATGCCTTCCTGTGTCTGATTCTATGTATTAGGAAGAGCTGCTATGTCTCTTGGACTTGGTAGAGTTGTCTTATGTAGTAGGTATCCTGTAGGGCCTGGTCACTCAAGCTGGGCACTCCAGGTGTGGTCCCCAGTCTGGGCAGTGCACACCCTCCTGTTGTCATTGGGCCTTGATTGCTGTCAGCACATAACTGGGAGGGATTGTGCCCTATGCTGGTCAATTGTGAGAACTGGCTGCAACTACAGAGGAGGAGTTGCTGTGCAGGGGCCAACCCCATGGAGTAGGATTCACTTCAGTGGAGCTTTTGTGCCCACTCAATCCATCCCTTTAGTGTGTCCCTGTAGAGGTGGTTAGGTAGTATTCCTGTGTGGTCTGGAGCTATTCACTGGGTGTGCTGTCTCTGGGGCCTCCTAGGAGGTGCAAGGTCAGCCATAGTCTGCGTGCCACCAGGGGCCACCTGGCATGAGCTACAGAGCAATCTACAGATAGCTGTTACTTGTACTGAGCTAGGGTATGCCTGAGAGAAGCCAACCTGTCAACTGGTGGTGGCTGCTGCTTGTGCCAGGCCATGGGGCCACTTAGCCAGACTATAGGGTAAACAGAAGCCAGATGCTGCTTGTTTGAGATATTTTAGGAAAGTCCAAAGCATAAGCCAAGAGGCCATTTGTATGGACAAGCTACTGGAAATTCTGTGTAGGCCCACAGGTTGGGTGAGGCATGGTCTCAGGGAATTACTAGGGCAGTGTCAGCCAGGTTGATAGAGACTCAGATATGATGCCTGCCTGCCAGCTCTGTGGAGTATTCAGCAGAGGAACAATGGTCTCTGCTAGCATTTCTGTCTAGGACAAACTGCCTCAGCTCTCACACTGATGCCAAACAATTCAGTTCTCCTTTATATCTCTGGTGCTTTTTAAGCTGCTGCCCAGAGCTGGAGCTCAGAGTGAGTGCATTGAGTAAGTCTTTGCTTGGGCTCTTAAAAAGGAACTGCCTGGGACTCCAGAGCCCTTCATCTCACTCAGGGAAAATCCCTGCTTGTTTCTACAGCCAGAACTCATGGAGAGGTTTCTCCACAGTACTGAAACCCTGGGCTGGGCAACCTGGTCTGGGGCTTGGACCCTTCACTCCTCAGCTGGGGCCCTCCACAGCCAAGATATTCCTCCCAATTTTTAACTGACACATGTGAGTGTGGGACCAGCCTGTTCTGCATCTCCACCTCTCCTACCAGTCCCCATGTAGCTTCTTCTTTATATCTTTAGTTATAGGACTT